CCCTTCTCTGACTGAGCATCCCTTGTAATGTGTTTTCTTCTCCCCTGAAGAAACCTAGGCTGCTCCACCCTGTCAGTAAGGTATATTTTGGCTATTTGCTCAGCCCAAGAACCTGACAGGATCACCCTTTAACTTAAACCCTTGAAAATGGCACTTGAGACACTTTAAAATTCAAAAATAATAAAAGGTTTTATTTAACATCGAGTGAAAAGGTCAGGTGAAATCAGGGGCTGAAATTACTGAAGTAAAACTAGGACAAGCACAGACTTTTGATCTTATATATCAGGCTAATGAGAGGTTCTTAATTTATTCACAGTTACTTAGATCTTTATATTGGGAGGCTTTTGATCCAATGTTTCCCCAAACACTCTAGTTCACTTTATTTGAGTAATCACTGACTCTTTTGGTGCTCTGAAGGCTGATACCCTCTTCCCAGTACCCAACCCCCTTCTCTTGTGCCACCAGTACTCTTCGCGAGTTGTTCACTAACTTTTAACATCTCTACAGGCAGTTTCTAATTACACCAGACCAGGGAATTCTGTACTCCTCAGAGATATCCTTGTTTGACTGGGTAGGGAATTTTCTTCTCTCCATAGAAGATCTATCTCATTTCCTTTGGCCTGAATGAGAATCTTTTCTGCTACCCAAACATCCTTGCCAAACTTTCCCCCAGTTCTTCGTCTGAGTTTAAACCACTCTCACCTAATGCTGAATTCAGACTGCATTCAGTCAAGGCTGAAATCTGACTCTGTCAGCACTAAACTCTTTTTCTGTCAGGGATATTCTCAGATGGTCTCAGTTAAGGCAGGAATCTGACTGAATCTCCTCAGCATCCAACTGTCTCAAGACTTTTTTTGCTCAGCTGATGCTAACCAATCTGATTGCTTAGAACAGCCTGTCACTCAAGGCTCTCTGGCTTTGTTAAGAATTAACCCTTCACAGTCCTTTAGTTGTTGGTACAGCACTTCTAAGCCTCTTAAAAAGTACAGTCCATCACAGGGCTATTCTTAGGGTCATAACAAACAACGAAATAAAAATCTTGATGAACAAGTCTCCTTCAGATTTCATATATGTGGCTTTCTCCCCTCAACTACCACTTCTTTGGTTTTGCAAGCTAACAGGATTGGAAGAAACATAAAATTAAACAAATATGTATTAACAGTCTCAAAACAAACAAAAAAACCCTTTACAAAGTAAATAAACCAAATTTATTCATATGATTTATTAACCATCTCCAACTCATGTTTATAATAACAAGAGAGCCATTCAATGTTCACCCACCAGTGCATGATTATTTTCATGAGAAACGGGAAACCAGTAAAGTAGCTCCTACCACTACTAACATTGGCTGCACACTGCCATGAGACAGCTCAAGTGAATCCAAATGTACAGAGCAAAGGCACTGTTTACATTGTAAAACATAACAAAAGAGAAATTCAGGACTTTCCACTTTTACAGTGTACTTATATTTTACAATTCCTTAAGATTGGTCAAACATTTATGTGCTGGTTTAATAGACAGTCCATGTCATGCGTTAGATTTATAGGCTGTGGGTTAAAACGTTATGTGTGGCTACACTAGATTGTGACACCAGGGTCTTTGTATTGTAGCAATGGCTATGAAATGTTTGGACCAGTTTTATCACCACACCAAAGCATACAAATTCCAGTACCAATAAAAATATTACAAATTGTAATGTAAACGATTAAATTACATAGGCATTCTTTTCAAAGATCCAAATGCTTCAAAGAAAAAGGTATATAAAATGTAAGAAAACATAAATTACATTTCAAAGTCTGTACATGATTCATCTCACAAGAAAAAAAAAACACTGAACACTCCACATTCTGTACAATATTGCTTATCTCGGTTTTTAACGATCTAGAGTCAATCACTAAACAAAGATAAAAGTAAAGTAGGCTTTGTGTGTACACTTCTAGCACCATCTTAACACAAACCAAATTGAGATTAAAATTCTTAATGACCAATGAAGGAAATACAACATGCTAATGTATGTTTCAGTCCTTTTCCACAATTTGAACACCAACTGTAAAAAGAGGCTGACTTTTTTTCAGATTAGTGCATAGAGTCCACACTTTTCATCCAGGTAGTAAATATATGTAGGACTTCCATTCATTCATAACGAAATAACTGATCTTGGTAGGAAAGTTGTGCAATGCCCAGTCACTAAGAAAAAACATGTTTGAGTCATTCTGCCTTCTTTCCTGAACTCTGCCTGTATTCTCTTTATTTCCAATTTGGATCAATATTACTACCTGGATTTCCCTATGTCTGGACAACCCCCTTGACAATTCTGCATCAGTGAGATAAATATTCTGTTAGGTAGATGATATCCATATAGTCATTGAATCCTGGGCACCTCTTGTCAAGCAGAACCAGTCTCTGTATTACTGTAGTTCAGCTTTTCTTGGGAAGGAGGGGTTACTGATTTAACCAGAATTCATTACAAATTACAATCAAAGATCAAGATATACATGATGTGCAATGCATTTCAACTATATGTTGCACAGCAACAGTATATTATAAAAGCAGCCTCCCTGCAAGAACTGTAGTCAGCTATAGATTTCAGTGTGGGAATTCTATATTTTCATGTTTACAAATATTTGCTGGAAATAATGGTGCATAAACACTGCTGCATTTTATGTGGCCTTGGATTAGTAGGTGTGCCTAAGAGAGCAAAGGAAAACATGAATTATGCAAGTTAGGACTACAGTCTCCAGCCATCTTGAAGAAATGTCCAGTTTTGTGTGTGTCATAAGGCAACTATCTTAGGCTTCTGACTGGAACTCTGTCTCGTCCATCTGAACAGTGTCATTATCACCCAATAATTCTGTTTCAGGAACTGAACCTTCCTCCTCTTCCTCTTCCTGAACCAGACTCTGAGCAACATCCTCTATTGCATTATGTACATCATCTGTACCTTCTGACAGCAGAGCAGCCCTGTCAGCCACAGAGGCATTGGAGGGGGCTGTAGTTACGTATCCTGTACTCGTGGAACCACTTCCGCTGTGATGGGATCCTGGCTTTGGAATCATCTGAGGAGCCATCTGTTGAGGAGCCATTTGCATTGGGATTTGGACTGGGTAAAAATTTGGCAGGTAGGCTCCATAGGCTGGCATTGGTTGGTAACCATTGACTGGAATGTACAGCTGAGGAGGCGGGACCATGGGTCTTATCTGTCCTTTCATTGGTATGAATTGTGGCTGAGGGAAAGCTTGTGGTTTTTGTTTTGGCCCAACATACCTTGTGTTGCTGACATTACTAACAGGACTTGTGCTGAGGGAACTGGTTTGTGTTGTATTGCTTGCACCAGATGTTTGTGCGGAGCTGTTATAATTAGAGAGGTTTCCCCATGTTCTCAGTCTGTTGTGAATGTCTTTAAATCTGGGTCTTCTGTTAGGAAATTCATTCCAACATTCTAACATCAGTGAGTATATCCATGCGGGGCAGTCATCAGGACATGGCAAAACCTGCCGGTTTCTTATCATTTCAATGACATCCTGATTAGAGTAGCCACAGTAAGGCTGCAAACCGTAGCTGAAGATCTCCCACAGCACCACTCCATAGGACCAGATGTCAGAATCAACTGATAACTTGCCATACATGATTGCCTCGGGGGACATCCATCGTATAGGGAGTGGAGTATTTCCCATTAATTTATAATAGTCAGCAGAATAAACTTCCCTGAAAAGACCTAAATCAGATATTTTCACATTGAGCTTGTCAAACACCAGTACGTTTCTCGTGGCTAAATCTTTATGGACAACATGGTGGCTTGATAAATATTCCATTCCAGCTGCTATCTGAGTCACAATGTGGAAAAAATCTGCTGGCTCCAAAGTAGATTTCACTGTCTTGTCATCATCAGTGCTGCCAACATCCGAATGGGGAGATCTCATAACCAGGAATTCATGGAGATCGCTATGGGAGCAATAGCTAAAAATCATACTGATGGGCTGTTCTTTGGTCACTATTCCTAGCAAGCAAACAATATTTGGGTGTTGCAGTCTTGACCGCATCATGGCTTCATGCTTAAATTCTTCACGGAGAGTTAAGTCTGCTTTATCCTTAAGTGTTTTGATGGCAACAGTTTGAGTTTGTTCCCCTGGAGTTGTACCAAACAGGTGACCCTTATAAACTTTTCCAAACTTCTCCTCACCTAGTTCCTCCATAAATCTCACAGTGGAAAGACTGATTTCTTTTAGTTTAGTCTGAAAATAAACAGATAGAGGTTATGTAATATTTAAATCTATATTTAAGGGAAAGGTTACAAGAACTCACTTGCAAAAATAAGGTTTGAATAAAAGAGACTTTCTCTGTGTGTTAATTCATATCTCTCTTTTTTGTTTACAGTTTGTTTGAGAGAATGTTTGAATAAAAGAGACTTTCTCTCTGTGTTAATTCATATTCATACCTCTCTTTTTTGTTTACAGTTTGTTTGAGAAATCTAGGGGAATTTCACATTACCCAGTTTCTCCCGGTTTCAAGCCGGTATACTTCCGTACTGCCATTTCACACATGGCTTGCCCCTACTGGAAACCAGCCGATTCAGAAGCGGTTTGGCATTTCAGACATGCACCGCTTTGTTTTCCCGCCGTTTTCTTCCCGTGCAGGTGATCGATTTTTTTTTTAAAAAAACGTTCGATTTATAGCGCTATAGTGCTATAGCAGTATAAAAAAAGGCGGGGAAAAAGCGTATCCGAACCGGGAGAGGGAACTGGAGACTACTCAGAAGCAGTTGACAGGTGAAACGCTTCAGTCCCGGTTCCTAAACGGGACTGAAGCTTTTGTGTGTGAAATGGCAGTTACATTCCGGTAGGGAACCGATTCTCAAACGGGACTTGCAAAAATAAGGTTTGAATAAAAGAGACTTTCTCTGTGTGTTAATTCATATCTCTCTTTTTTGTTTACAGTTTGTTTGAGAAATCTAAAGTTGCCCTTCCTCCGTCTTGCATAGATGAACCTTAAATTCACAGACCTGCTCTGCTTGTGTAAGGAAGAGGGAAGATGATTCATGTGAACCCCTCTTTCTTGCTCCATTCTGGAGGGTTTCCAGCCCTCAGCAGTAGGTTTTTGGGGGTACAGTGGCTGCTTGGGGAGGGGAGGCCCATGAAAGTCTCTTCCACAATCTCACTCTGCTTACAGAAGCAATGGATCCAACACCCTACCCTTCGCTCTCATATATATTACTTGTGTTTGACAACCTTTGATAACCGTTAACTGAATGGCACATCAACATAAAGGAAACAGTACTCTAAGTCTGAATATTTCAATTAATAAATGTAAAAGAAATTATCTTATTTCACAAATGCAACTTATAATAATAACATTATCATTAACAAACACATTTATATCTAGCCTACAATTCATTGGCACTCTAAACTCATTCCAATTTGGGAAGACTTTAAAATCACTGTGGAGGAGGAGGAGGAAGAGGAAGAGGATTGGTTTTATACCTTGCCCTTCATTACCCAAAGAAGTCTCAGAGTGGCTTACAATGAAAAATGTTACCTGTTTATGCTGATTTATAAGAGGCATTTCCATGTCTTGGCTAGGAGAGGGCATCAGCTGGCGACGCTGTGGAATGGCAGCAGATGCCTTCTGCTTGTTCCTGCACATGCATACCAAGAAGAAAAGGCAGGCAATAACCAAAGGGATGGCTATGCTGGGAACCAGGATATAGAGGATCCCCATTTTGCTGCTGTCACGCGGACCTGTTTATATTGAAAATATTTCATGTTTTCAGAAGAGCTTTTAAACATCCTAAAGCAATGCAATTCCCCCCGCCCCAAATATAACTAACTAGCACCACAAATTGTTTCTGTCACAAACTTGTTTCCTGTTTATTAGATAGTAAATAAAGTCCTAAAGAATTGATACACATCTGAAATATGAGATTCCATTGATGCAGTCAGTTTGTACTCTTGGTATCACAAGAGTGTAAGAAAAGCCTTGCTGGATCATACCAGCGGTCCATCTAGCCCAGCATCCTGTCTCACAGAGTGGCCGATCACTTACCCTGGAGGGCCAATGAACAAAGCACAGAGGCAAGGCCTTCTTCTGATGTTGCCTCCCAGCACTGGCATTCAGAGCTTTACTGCCTCGAAATGCTGGAGGCTCCTTCTGGTCATCATGGCTTGATGGACCTTTCCTCCTTCAATCTGTCTAATCCCCCTTTAAAGCAATCTATGCTCATGTACACTACATCCATTGGCAGTGAATACCACAGTAATTACTTGTTGAGTAAAGTAGTATTTCCTTTTATTTGTCCTGAATCTGTCAGAATTTTCACTGGGTGCCTCCCAAGTTCAGTGTTATTATTATTATTTATTAAATTTATACCCCGCCCTCCCCGCAAGCGGGCTCGGGAGAGAAGAACTCTATAAATAATTTTATAAGCCTCATTCAAACACACCCATCTTATCCTTATACTAATAGCCAAGTCGCCCTGTGAGTGCGGATCGCTAAATCCGCACTCAGGGGCGACTTGGGGGGCAGGGAGAGTTTTGTGCACTCTTGGGGCAGTCCCCAGGGGTGCACAAAAATCTAAAAACTAAAAAAATATATCGGGGGGATATTTAAATCCCCCCGAAAGTGCCAGAGCGTTCATGCACGTGCGCACAGAACGCTCTGCGGAGGCTGCCGCCGCCGCTATTTGGAAGGCGAGCGGGGGGGCAGAGCTGCGAGGGGCGAGGGGAGAGCGGCTCGCCGCCTGGCCCCTCGGCTCTGAGCCGGTGTGGGTGGCTGGGGGG